TATGGTGTCATTATTTGTATGGGATTCGGTGTACCATCTACATGGACCACAAGAGTTTGAGATATCTTATGGATCTGTCCAACCTCAATATGAGACAACGAGATGGCTTGACGTGGTGAAAGACTATGACTGTGAGATCTTATACCACCCCGGTAAGGCCAACATGGTGGCGGATTCTCTGAGCCACATGGCGGTTAATGCCCCAATTTCGGATGTTTGATTGAGGATGAAAGTGGTGACTTCAGTCTTGGAGATGAGGAGGGATGAACAGGCGGAAGCAATTAAGGAAAAGAAACGGAAGAGTGAACGAGTGGTTGATCATGTTTTGGCTTTTGATATCTACAGCAAGGGGCTGGTGACTCTTCATGGCAGGATATGGGTGCCCTATTCGGGTGGAACCCGACATATTTTGATGGACGAAGCACAAAAATTGAAATTTCCCATTCATCCGAGTGCAACGAAGACATATCTTGACCGGAGACATAGCTACTAGTGGACATGTATGAAGAGAGATATAGCGTGGTTTGTGGAGCGGTGCTTGACCTGTTGAAAGGTCAAGGCCGAACATCAGCGCCCTCACGACAAGTTGCAGGTTCTGGAGGTCCCATTGTGGAAATGGGAATAGATCACCCTGGATTTCATCACGAAATTACCAAAGACGACGAAGGGTTTTGATGCCATTTGGGTAATTGTGGATCATTTGAAGAAGAGTGCACTTTCTGGCCACTCGTGAGAGCTATTCTGCTGAGATGTTGGTTGAGATCTACGTTCTTGAGGTGGTTGATCGAAACGGTGTACCTAGTTCTATCGTTTCAGATCAGGATGTCCATTTCACTTCCATATTTTGGAAGAGGTTCCATGAGGAGTTGGGTACCCGATTGCATTTATGTACTGCTTAACATCCGCAGGCGGACGGGTAGAGTGAGCGGACCATTCAGACGGTCGGGGATATGTTGAGGGCTTGTACCATAGATTTCGGTGGGAGCTGTGACTCCTAGCTTCCCTTGGCTGAGTTTTCGTACAACAACAACCATCATGCCAGCATTAGTATGCCTCCCTTAGAGCTTCTCTATGTGAGGAAGTGTCGGACCCCTATTTGTTGGGGAAAGGTTGTACGGAGAGTCATGGGGCGCACAGAGATATTGCTCAAGACGACATAGCTCATATAATATGTCAGGCAGAGATTATAGACAGCCAGAGCCGACAGAAGAGTTATGTCGAACGACGTCAATCTAAGTTAAAAGTTGCAGGTCAGGGATATGGTACTCTTGAAGGTGTCGCCTTGGAAAGACGTTATCCGATTGAGGAAGCGGGGCAAGTTGGGCCCCAAGTTTATCGGTCTATTCTAGGTGGTAGCTAGGGTGGGCAAGGTGGCCTACTGATTGGAGTTACCGGATGAGGTTAGTCAGATTCATAGCACCTTCCATGTTTCCCAGTTGCGAAAGTGTGTGACCGACGAGACATCAGTCGTACCTTTGGATGATATTCAGGTCGATGACCGCCTGAATTGTGTTGAGCGACCGATAGCGATTATCGACAGGAAGACAAAGACCTTGCAAAACAAGGTGGTGGGGTTGGTGAAGGTATAGTGGCAACACTGAAATGTTTTTGAGTGGACTTGGGAACCTGAGGAGGAGATGCGTACCCACTATCCTGCTTTGTTCGAGACTGAGGACTTCAAGGGCGAAGTCTGATTTTAGTGGGGGGAGGGAATTGTAGCATCCGAGTCTTCAAGGTATAATCCTTATTTATTTTTTATGTGAATTAGAAGGACACAACATGGTGGAAGCACCACCACGCCGTGGCAAGACTCAGATTGAACGCGACTGCATTTAAGTCTCCCATGACGTGACGTTATGTTGGCCACGATGTGGGGACTATTTTAGGCCCAAACCCTAGTTTGTGAGGTTGGTGCCCTATTTAAGGGCACTAACTCCTAGGGTTGCCTCATTTGGCAACCTCCACCATCTTAGAAACCACCCCATCCAAACCCTAGCCCCAATGTGGAAGATCTTGAGCTTGTGTGGTCACTTTTTGTACTTTTAAGAAGGAATCATTGTTGAAGCATTGGTCTAGCTTTCCAGTCTCATCACCATCTTCTTGGTTACTTTCTGGACCATTGTAAGTATCCAAGACTCAAGCTTTATGTTATGAGACTGCTAGATCTAGGGTTTTGCCCACTTTTCTCAATGTTGGGTTGCGTAGGGTAGAATGCTTGGAATCCATAAAAGTTAGCAACTTTATGGATATTGAGGTCCCTTAGTGGACATATGTTCCAGATCTGAAGTTTATTGCTATTTTGGGCTTCATGTATGAGAACTTTGGTGGTATTTCTACATTTTGACCTAAGTTTGAGTAAGACTTGCATTAGGCATGAAATTCTGAATCACACCGATCTTTGTGAAGTATTAGGCCTTAGGAAGAGTTCTGGAAAGTTTGAAGGAATGTCTTAACAGATTAAGAGCTAAATCTGTTAAGCTGCTGGAACCCAATTCCCACGACATGGCGTTTAGGTGGCGACTGGGGAGGATGCCCGACTGTTTTGTCTCTTAGTGCCCTCGACATGGCCTATGGGTGCCCACGACGTGGAGAACTGTCGAAGTTGACTTTGACCATTGAATTTTTTACCATAAATGACTTTTGGTCAATTTAGAGGTTTTAGGATGTAGACCGAGTGGGTACTTCTTTATTGTTGTTAGGTGTTTTGTAGTACCAGTCTTCACCATGTGAGAGTTGTTGTGTTCTAGCTGCTACATACGAGGTGAGACTTCTCACTATTCTATAGGACACTAGGTGTCGATTGTGCACATTGTCTTTGTGACTCTTGCTAATGTGCTTGTATGTTGTATGCATGGAGCCAATCTGGGCTCGAAGTCATTACGAAATTAGGGTTGATACGAACCCGATGGAGCTAATCTGTGCTCGGAGTCAATATGGACTCGGGGTTGATACGGACATGGGGTTGTTACGGACCCGATACAACTACATGTTATATATGTTGTGTGTTGTATTTTAGGGGAAACTCACTAACCTTTGTGTTTACAATTGTTGATTTATTGTGTTTCAGGTACTCTTGATAAGCGTGGGAAGGCGAAGGCTTGATTGTACACATCTATCTGCAGTTTCTGTGATTACGCATGTTTTGATACTATGATATCTTGGGATGATTGTGTTTGATACTTATGTTATGTTGACTTGGGTTTTGTGGAAACAATGATTTTACTTTATTAAAAACGAAAAAAATTGTTTTGAAAAATGGGACGTTACATTAGATTTTGTTTTAGCTACAAAATTTTAACAAAATTTTTTAGTATTTTCGATATTTAATCTTCATTAATTAATACATTTTTAGTTTCTAAAAATATTATTTATCAAAGTCTATGATCAAAGTTGCAAAACAAATAAAATAGTTAGGTGACATTAATCCTATTAATCTGAATCCAACTAGGTAGATGTCGAGTATCAATTATATTCTTCTATATAATTCCTAGTTTTATGGGATAACTAATAACAAAGTTCAATAGACATGTTTGATCTAATCTATGTCCCAGATCTCTATTGCTTAGGTGACATTTATCACAACAGATTTCCGATCAAATCATTCAGTTTGAAAAACTTGTGTAATCGGCCTATAACCTGGTTATAGAAATTGAGAATACACATCGGCCATCAAAAGATAACACATAGTGGTTAGGTGGCATTTATCTCACTAGCGTATACAAGAGACGTGTGATTGTTTTTCAAATAGGATCGCATAGATTTGAAGTTTATAAGGGGTGTTTGATGTTTTGACAAATTACATTGTTTATGTTTGTGAACATGCTAAACGAACATAAACGAACGAGCATAAATGAACAAAGATAAACAAACATAATTGAACATTTATGAACATAAATGAACATATAATATAGTAATGTACTTAAACACAATTAAGCATATATGAACATAAAAGGGAAGCGAATATAAACGAACGTAAACAAAAAAACATAAACGGACTTTTACGAACATAATTGAACGAATAAGACTATTGTTCATGTTCGTTCGTTTAACTAAACAAACGAGAATTTGTGTTCATGTTCGTCCATTTATTAAATAAACGAACATAAACGAACTTCCCATCGAACGGTTTACAAATAATTCGTTGAATATTTAGTTCGTTTATAGCCCTAAGTATAGTTGTCTTAACAACAATATATCCTATAATAAATTTTGAAACTATATGCTTCTCATGTCTAAAACCTGTGAAAAGATATAATGTTTTATATGATTGTATTTGTCATATTTGGAATTTCATATATTCTTAATTTTTGGTAGTTTAATATTACTCGGTTAAAAATTAGATTCCAATAAGATAAACAAGGTAATTAAATAAATTATTTAATTCCATTCCAAGTTAGACGGGTATAGTTTATTATATGTGAATAAAAAATAATGTTTAATAAATATTTATCGGAGTCAAAATAAGATTTATATTAAAAAGATTATAGCAAAATTACGATTATTTTATATTTAAAAATACATAACAAATTAGTTTAAAAATATGCAAATCGATAAACTTAAAAGAATAATACTCCCACAAAATTAGATCAAACAAATAGTTGTCTGATCCTAATCAGAATAATCATTCATTTTTTCCCTACATATTTTAACATGTTAAACGCTACATAAAACTGAACTTATTATTAAAGAATTTTCTTTGAAATAATTCAAAATAACTTACGTAATTAAATTTTCCAAAAAAAAATAAGAATATTGTTTTACTGATTAACGGAAATATTAACATCCATTGCACGAAGACGCGACGACTTACAAGGTTTACGAGGAGTTGTAAACAACTCGCATGAGTTTAATAACTTTCAAACAACTCTCGGCCATCATCACTATTCGCTAGACACAATCTCACATACTTGTGTGTGTTCCAAAACTTTTGCCAAATTCTCATCGCATTCGTCAATCTACTTCTACATGCTAATCATTAATCTCTTTCTATCTTCTTATTTTCAGCGATTGTGAAGCGGGTCTGATGCATTTGGAACTCTTCGTTTGCTAGAGTACAAGTCACCCAGTCCTTGCTGTTGATTCTGCTGTTTTTGCTGCTTCTCCGGTTGTACATTCCTGCTTATTCCAATGGGTTCCCTTCCATTCTCGGCACCGGAGACTAACAGTGAGAGAAGAACAATTATCACTAAACCCACTTGTATACAACGGTGATTATGCATGTTGTAAGAAGAGAGGGTTTTCTCGTTTCTGCTACGAGGGAGAAAGTGATTATGAAAGATGCGAGTTATGAAAGTGTAGTTTGAACTTTGAAGTGTGATGTGAATATGACTCGATGATGATGGTTGTACGATGGTATTGGATTGGGGTAAGTAGCTGCCCTAAAGAAGGGGTAAGGCAAAAGGAGTAGGCTAAAAAGAGGGACAAGAGGGAAAGTGATGGAGTACGCTACAATCTACACATACCCTGCAAACAAGGGGGCACATCTCACGATATATTAGACCCCTTTTTCCTTTTTGACAGAAAATAAAGAAAAGCTATATACTAATTTAAGAGCTTTCTTAATGCATACCACATATATTAACTAATCACGTGATTCATGAATTCTATTTGGTGACTAATGAAAAGACGAATTACTTCCATATATATGTCAATTCTGCGAGCTGCATTTGAAACCTTTTTATCTCGAGAACAATCGTTTCTTTGATAGTTTACTACGAATAAATCGATGTGTTCCAATAATACTTCCAAGTTGAGTACATGTATGATGTATCGACGTTTAAACTACACCTTTCTAGCTTTTACTTGTATCAATGTTTAAAGTTTAAACTACACCTTTCTAGCTTTTCAATTCTTATTACATACCTTATCATTAGGTTATGTTAACTTATTTAGTAAAACTATATAAGCAATAACTTATATTTTATATAAAATAATATTGTTATAAAACACTATTATATATGAAAAAAATAACGGAAAAATATCATTTTAACCTAACGAACTTGTAACGTTTATTTTAAAAGGTCACTCAATTATTTTTTTTACACATTAAGGGAATAAAGTCTGTGTTTACCATTTTAAAAGGTCCTTATTTAACTTGTTACTGGGTAAAATATAGTGATGTGTGCTTGATAAATGGGATTAAGACTTGAGAAGTTAGATGTAGGCAAAATTATTCTTTCAAACATTTTGTCGAACACCTTATAAAAACTCATGTCAAAATAATAATATATAATATATAGTCATATTATATTAATATAAAATAATGATTAGTTTAAAGTTAATGAGTCAATTAGAGGCAAATTATGAAGATTATTGTCAAAAAGAACCGTCACCTTCATTGGGGCATTAAATTCGAGCAAATGAGAGGTCTCCATCGGTTATACTCTTAGGAATTATAAGTAGCACGAAAAATCGAGTGGAAACCCCACAAAAATTTCTGAAATCGTTTGAAAATAAAAAGAGAAGTAGGGCTTGGAAGTTCTTGAAGAGTTTTCGGAGTTTTCTTGAAATCAAGGGTGCAGGTAGCGTGATAAGTTTTGGTTAAGACCTAACGCCAACAAGGTGAGTTTTTCGTGTTTTGTGGTTGCTCACACATAAATGTTTATCATGTGGTTTATATGCGGCTTTTCAATTATTTATTCACAGTATATTTTATGATAAGTATGGTTGTGTGCAAATGTTATTTTGAGTTGTTTACCTATTGTGCGTTTTTTTAGGTGACATGTTTAGTGGGAACGGGCGGGGTGTTTAATCGTTGTGAGTATGACGAATGTGTGTGATCCGCAGGGATGGAAATTGAGAATTTTATTCATTTCCTTGGATATTTAAAATACTTGAGTACAATGGATGATGAATAGACTCAAGGAAAAGGAAAATTAACCTTTGGTTCTTTCTCTCGATAATTAATCATTCCCCTAAATTATGCATTGGGTGATATGTTTGTTGTATTATTTATTGAAACTATATGATAAAACCTTTTGTTTTTTTAAGTGATGGACATGTATGTGCAACACGAACTCACTAGGCCCTAGGCTCACCCATTTAGAAACTTTAAATGTGCGCAACCTAGGAAACTATTTAGCAAGTGGCAGAGAAAACTCCAAGGAGAAGGATTGATCCAGAAGACGACAGAGGAATTCCGCAAAGACGTAAAACCCGAAGTTGTTCAATTGAAGACTTTATTTTATTTTATTTTGCTTCAGCTGTAGTTTAGTCTATAAGTAAGTTCATAATTGATCATGGGAGATGTTAGAACGATTATTTTTCATTTAATCGATATTTGAAAATTGGGGTATTACAAGTTGGTATCAGAGCGTTGTTTAAACAGATTAGGTGTTTGCATAAACACTTAAGCTTAGACGGAAGGAACAAGAGGTAATCGAACGACTAAATTAGACCACATCTCGCTTGTAGGTATCATGTCTTAAAGGAGATCTGGAAGGTTTGCTAGGGTCACCCCGGAGGAAGAACACATCCTAGTTGGATCTTATGTTATAGCACCTGGAGATGTATCGGAAATCCCGTTGATCCCTAATGCGAGTCGTGGACGTGGCCAAGGAAGAGGAGGAGGCATGGGTAGAGGAAGAGGGCGAGGATCTGTAACAACACTGATAGCTGCACCGACTGGCTAGGGTAGCTCCGACTCCCACTGCGGTCGAGGTCGAGGTCGCGGAAGGGGTCGTGCGACAAACATGATCACTAGAGAAGAGTTAGTTGATGAGATTGCTCGGGCGATACACGCCACTTTGCCAAATGTAGTTGCTGAGGCATGAGATGCAATAATAAGTGAGTACCAGCGTAACTTCGCACGGAGGTGAAGAAGACTACGAGTATAGTACACCAAATACAAATCCTGAGCCAAGCATTGCACAACCCTCAAGGCACATTAACAACCATGAATGTGTTGGATTAGATGTCTAAGCCCATAACTATTATTGGTATGTACTTGACCCGAGAGTAGCATGGTCAATTTGGGGTTACATATCATCATAACAATTTGTTAGGATGGACTCTTGAGAGAAGGTTAAATATGATTTATTAATATATTATAAGTACTAATATATTAATATGAAATCATATGGTTTTAATTATTATTGATCAAGAATTAATTAGTGAATTGATTTAGTGATCAAAAGGAGCCTAATTAAATCTATGGGGACTAATTATGTTAATTAGTTATATTTATGTGTGTTGGGCTTATGATCCATGTTGGACCAAGTTTATGTATGGATACATAAAGAGTTGGGCCACATGAACCATGGATCATAAGACCCATGGGTATGGATTTGGGTTATATCCATGACCATAGAAATCTCACATATAAATACATACTTCATTGCCCAAAATGGTGACTAGTGTATTCTTGGAGTTCATGGTGGTTTTTGGTGCATGGAGATTCTCTCTCAAGTTCCTCCTTTTGTCCATGATGTGTTGTGATTCCACTTGAGACTTCCACACTATTAGGGCTAAGCTCTTAAGGCTAGATACATCAAGACTTCAAATCACCACCATAAGGTATGTTATCCTAACTAAATTCTTGAGTGGTATATGACAATTGTATGCTAGTTATAGGTTTAATACCTTGGAAACACCATTGCATGTATAATTAGTGAAAACATAGATCCAAGATATTTAGGGTTGCATGAACACCTTAGGAGTGTTAGAATGCTCAAAACCCAACAGTGGTATCAGAGCTTACGCTTGTTTTCAAGTTATACATGCTGAAATAGCTTAAAAATCGAAAATTCTGGCTTCCTGGGCACTAGATTGGCCGAGTCCACTGATGGACTCGCCGAGTCCATGAAGAAATTCATCCTACTCGTCGAGTAGGTTCATACACTCAACGAGTAAAAGCCCCTGACATCATATTTTCGACTTTTAAGGCTGGAATTGGTCTTGAATCATTACCTTAAACTGTTTTGGACTTATAAAACTTGTTTTTGATGTAGTAATGATTATGGCAAACCAATTTCAAAGTCATTATCAAAGTTTCAAGTTTTATATATGTTTATATGATTCTTGAAAATTTTTGATGTGGATTGTTCATGCTTATGAGTTTTGGTAGATCATAGGAATTATATGCAAATTGTTTGTTAGTGTAATTCTTGATCTTAATGAAATTGTATGGACTCCATAACTTGTCCTCAGGTTATGGATTACCTAAAGTTTTTTGTGTCACCTTGTTTTATGAGTTAATTTAGATTAATGAAAAAATTATGTGTTAGTTGTTTTCAATCCAAATTGATCTAAGAGTAGTTCATAAAATGTGTTTTTGTAAATTGTCCTCAAGTTATATGAAAAGTCACATTTATGAATCTTAAAACTCATAAAAGTGCCATAGGTTACAAAATGAAGTCTTTTTCTCATAAATAGTTTTATGGACTTCATAACTTGTCCTCAAGTTATGGATGTTCAAGCGTCTCTTCATTAATTTTTTTAAAAACTTTAATTAAACTCATAAGTTATGAAAAATCCAAGAGTTTGAAAAGTTTCAATACTTTCCCTCAAGTTTTGGAATTTGCAAAGTTACCTCCCCATGTATACTTTAATTCCAAATTAAACCTTAGAATTTTAAAACTTTAAAATTCAAACTTATACTATTATAATATTAAAAAATTAATGGTTATATATATATATATGTATAAGATAAATTCAATCTTACCGTTAGTAGGCCTCATTCACAAAGCCGGTCTCTAAAGGGGGTATAAGGTTACTGCCTATAAAATGGCAGTTTAATGGGTGTTCACTCTCACCCACCGCTTCCTTGACTAGTGGAGGGTCATTAGCCGAACGGGTAGGATAGGACTCTAATTCTCCTTTCATTAAAAGTATAATGATAAATACTAAGTAACTAAACACTTATAAATTCCCAATCTTAGTTACTTAGGAAAATGTGAATTTGGTGCTAACCCATGAAATTACACTTTGCACCCTTGTTAAGTCGTTAGTGGAGCATGTGTGGTTATGTCACACCCCAAAACCTGAATGGCGGAAACGCTCTGGGGTGGAGGACGTCATGTATAACATCACAACCAATGTATAATAGCAATCATAGCAACACAACCATTACAGTGAGTACGTATATGAAAAATGTTTACATCAGTTTGAAACTTGTTTGAAATACATCCAAAGTATGTAAATTATAAACATAAGACTCTTATTGCTCCAGCTTCTCAACAATCCAGCAGGTACCTGTCTACTGATTTCCTGAGAATACAAGCAGTTTGAGAAATATCAGCATAAAGCTGGTGAGTTCATAAGTGATATTTTGTAATGAAAACTTGTTGGTGAGTTTGTACGATTGTTCGTATGTTTCCAAGAAAATCCGATATTTTCTTTAGTGCGAGTGTAATGTTACCATTTTTTGTGTAAAACCATGGATGTTCATTTCTGAAAAACTGTAGTGATATGTGAAAATACTACTTCATGTGACTAGCTAATGCTAATCATGATATGTAGGTATTCCGTATGAAAAATCATGGAA